CAGGAATGTTAAAGAGCTGAAAGAATTTAATGTAAGTATCCATAATAACGGCGGCCACAAGGGAAAGGGAGTTAATGGAGGAGGAGATGTTGTCCATCCTCGTCACAAAAAGGGTGCAGCTAATTCTTTGCTTCCCAAATCTTCTCCTCTTTCATCCCTGCTTAGACATGCTTCCACACTTGGCTTGCTTATCTTTCTATTCTTCTTTTGATATTTGCTTTGCTTAACTAGAGAAAGCAAACCAGGCTTGTGTAGCTAGTTCTACAAAACCTGGCAATTCATTATTAATGTATTTAGTCTGTCATGAGTTAAAAAAAAAGTTTAATGATTATTAGGTCAAAATTTAGGATGAAATTTTAAAACAAAATTATTTGAATTATTGATTATGTGGGTTCATATGTGGCCTACATTATAATTAATAATAAGCATAAATCTGTTATAAAATTTGATCCTAAAAATTAGTCGTAACTATCATTATTAAAAAAGGATTAACTCATGAATGGTGGTGCTTGCAACGTCAGATACTTGCCAAAGCAATTTATGAAGCAATTGAGGTATACAAATTAAATGTCCAAGAAACAAAGGTTTGGTCAGTAATATCTGAAGTGTGCAAGTTTCAGGCAAGTTGGATTGGTACAATCTAAGCTAATGCATGATTTGTAGCATTGTTATTGTGATGTATATGGACTGTTTATGGAATGTAAGACAAGGTAAGAGTTGGAATACCATTTTTTTTTTTTTCTTGAAAATAAGCAATGAAGTGAGGGTTGGAATACTTGTACTGATAAGTAATATAACTTTTATTTAATTGATAAGAAAAAAAAAAAAAATTCAACCTAACGGAAAAACTCCTCTTGCCACTTGATTCAAGGACACAATAATATCATTACCTATTTTCAAAAAAAAAAGAAGACAATAATAGAGCTAAGAGTTGTCAAATCAAAGACAATAATAGAATTACAGAAAAAAAATATAAGCAGAATTTTAAATTTACTTATAAAATATATCTATAAATATAAGTTTATTTTTTTATGAAAATAAAGGGATGAATTATTTTTTTAATTATAAATTAAAATAAATTATTATTTTTAATAAAAAATCAGAATTTTATTTGTTATTTTAATATTTTTTAATAAAAAAATATTAAAAAAATAATTTATCTTAATTTATAATTTTAAAAAATAATTTAGTTTTTTATTTTTGTGATAGATGGATCTACCTATCAAATATTTTTTAAAGATAAATTTGAGGGTTTTGCAAAAAAATATAAAGACAATAATAGAGTATGCATATAACGCATTTTACTAATATATATATAAAAAAAAATCTCTTTCCCCTTTTCTCCTTCCGATTCAATCTTAACTTACTTTTTAGGTTAAATCCTTAATTTGATCCTTAAACTATTATACAAACTTTTGATTTAGTCTTTAAACTAAAAAAATTTTTAATTTGATCCTTAAATTATTGTACAAATTCCTGATTTAGTTTCTATTGTTTGTCAATTTGCTCCAAATTATTCCTTTTATACAAAAACAGTTGACGTATTTCGTTATTAACATAATACGTGACCGTTAAGTTATTATTTTTTGTTATTAAGTTATTATTTTTTGTTATTAAATACTAAACACGTCAGCTTTTTTTTGTACAAAAAGACTAATTTGAGGCAAATTGATAAATAGTAAGTATCAAATCAAGGATTCGTACAATAGTTCAGAGACCAAATCAGAAATTTTTTAGTTCAATGACTAAATTCGGAGTCTGTACAATAGTTTATAGACCAAATTAAGGATTTAACCTACTTTTTATTGTATTATAGAAGTTATTAAAATTAATAATAAATTTTAAATAAATATTTAATAAGTTTCTTTTAAAGAAAACTTAAAAATTAAAAACCCAATTAATTTTAATTATATATAATTCTTTCAAAATTAAAACCTTTATATATATATATATTAAATTCAATGCGAAAACAAGATAACAAAAATTCTACCTAAAAAATTTCTTATACCGTGTTGTTAATTAGTTATACCAAAATCCAATATAGTAGTTAATACTTTAGCGTAACCAACCGGCCAGAGGCCCAATGGTTGGTCCTAAGCCTTAGGGCTTGGGTGAGGCGGAGGTCAGGACTTCGAGCCCTGCCGTCGCCGTAAACTTCATCAACTTGCAACCTAATGGTTGCGCATCTTAAATGAGGGGGTGGAACGTTCATTGAAAAAATTTCAACTGTTAACAAACTAACTTTACTAACTTCCTAACCATCTACCTGGTTAAAAAAAAAAAAAGTTAATACTTTAGGGTATATAGATTTTCAAGATGGTAGTAGTTAATTATTATTATGTGTTTATTAAATTCTTATTAAATTGAAAAAGTATGCGAAAAGAATACTTTTAAATCCAATTTTATAATAAGTAGTGATTTAAATTTTAGAAAA